CCTGGTGTTTACTATTGTAGTTAAAGAATCTATATGATCAATGCCGGCTGTCTTCTTTCGAAACCAAACTTTTAACTTTAAATTTCAACAAACTTTGTGTGAAACTATTTTTCGATTGTCATTTTTTTTGCCCTCCACCCCAGACTGGCGGAAATCGCCCACGCTCTCCTTAAGCTGGCACCCTACGACACACTGACCATGGAGAGCAGGGGCCTGCGTCGCTACATCATGGAGATGCTGCCCATCACCGACTGGTCGTCAGAGGCCGTGCGCCCCGCCCTCATCCTCATCCTCAAGAGGCTGGACCGCATGTTCAACAAGATCCACAAGATGCCCACGCTCAGGTGCGCTCGCCCACAGGCACTGTGCACCAGGTCTGTTGAACCTATGTTCTCCTTTCTCTGTCATTCGCCGTAATCGTTCTGTGACGGTGGTGCCGTGGCGTGTGCAGTAGATAGACGGCTTCTTGGCGCTGTCGTCCCTCCAGGTGTCTTTGTGGATTGCTGTACCGTAAGTGGCTGCTTCTGGTGTGTGTCTGCGCAGGCTGAGTGTCCGGTGCTCTGGTGTGTTTTGTACGGATTCACAGTGAACTGGTCGCAGTGTTCCTTCTTAGCAGTGGGATGTTCACCTTGTGACAATAAGTGATTGTAATATTCAAAAATCTGTAGTTTTCCTGGACTCAAGAAAGAAAATTGGTTTTATTAAATGTTTCGTTAAAAAGTCTTAATAAGCATTAAATTAATAAATCTAAATATAAGGCCTTAATTGGTCAATTGGTCTTCAAAATGTTAACACCACATAAATAGGAATATGCTATTTTAATTAGGGCTGTAATTTATTGAATAATGAAATAATCTAAAGTCGTTCGATCGATCAACTAATGATTATTTGATAAAAAGCTGATTTTCTCTTGTATCAAAAGGATCTTTCTATAACATGAAGAACTACATATATATATATATATATATATTTTGTAATATATTCTGAGTAAAAAAAAAGAAATGCAATATATTTTAACTATTCATTCTACCAGCTGTATTAAATACTGACAGAATAAATGAATTTTTTTTTTCACATTGTTTAACTTATTTAAAAGATAACCAAATATATTTAGAAGGTGTAGAAAAACAGGAACTTAATAGTTTACTGAAAAATAAAAGATCAAATGAACATATGAAACACGATTTTCCAGTGCTAAAACGTAAAACTATGATTTAAAGACGGTTTATGACGTCCATATATGTTGTCAGATTATTTGCCACTCTGTTTCAGTGCGGTTGCTGTGAAATAGCTCTCTGTGCTTTATCCAACAATCCAAACAATCATAGTACGACTAAAGCTACGTTCACACTGCAGGCCTCGATGCTCAATTCCAATTGTTATTTTAAAATCGGATTTATTTGTGTTGCTGTTCACATTTCCAAATATATCTGTATGTGATCTCCTGTGTCAACTGGAGTCATACAACGCAAGTGTCCTGCATGCGCAGTAGAGGACACAATGACGTCACAAGACATACTCTGTGTTTTATGGAAGTATACCTAGATGGTAGTGCTGGAGAACATCTAGAGATCTTTCCCAACCTTAAACACTAAATCTTTTCAAGATGGTTAAAGAAAAAGACTGCTCTCCGCATTTTAGTGTTCCATAGTTGTTGTTTTTCTTCTTGCTTCTGCGTAACAAGACTCAGAACAATGACCTTTGTCTGGTATTACCTGGCGTTCAGGTCAGATTAATGCGACCTGGCCGTTCAGATACAGGTCGCATTTGAAAAGATCGGATTCGTATCGGGTTCAGGACCACATAGCCAAGTGTCCTGGGTCGCATTGGAAAAATTTGTATCTGTGTTGTTCAAACAGCCATGACAAGATAAGATACAGGTCGCATAGGGGCAAAAAAAATCGCATTTGGGTCACTTCAGGCTGCAGTGTGAACGTAGCCTAAGTGGGCACTATTTAGGTGCTCAATTAAGGAGTTTAATAAGTGTTTATATTTACAGAACAGAACCAGATAAAGTGCATTTTGCACTGATTGCAGTTAGGTAATAATAGGCTTCAAATGGTTGGGCAATTCTAGCTTCTGAGAGCCAGTATCCTGCAACTTTTAGCTGTGCGTTTGGTTCAACACACCTGAATCAATTAGTTATATTGAGATGACTCTGGAGGAACTGACTGCATCCTGAGGAGGTAACTCAGTCGTTTGATTCAGGTGTGTTGGACCAAGGGTAAATCAATAGCCCAATCCCAAACCGGCCTCTAAATACTAACCTTGAGCACTAACCCTCCGTTTGCGCGTTCCCGCGGAGGGTCCGTCACATTAAGTACCGTCCCAAACCGCGTAGTGGGTAGGGCCAGTGGAACATTAAGCCCTTAAAAAGCCAGTCTGCATCTGTTGCAGGCTTACGGGAATAGGGCTCGGGATCCACGT